TCGGTGTTTTGAAAAATTGTGGCGCGAAAACAAATTGAGCTAGCCACATGCGGTTTGCGGCAGATTACAGCGAAACTCTGCCGCAAATCGCATGTGGCTAGCTCAATTTGTTTGCGCGCCACAATTTTTCAAAACTCCGAAGGGACTTTGTGGACACACTGTATGTAAAAAATTCTATGCGTATCATTGATACAAAAAGTCAGTGCAATGAAAGTTACAAGTTGCTTTTTCTTAAACTATGCAATAGAAAGATTCGTCGTCAACATTAAAATAATTTTGGTCATTATGCGATCCACCATTATTTGATCTTTTAAGTTTAGAAATTTCCAATTTAAAAGGTAGTTTATTTTCAATAGCAAACATTTCTTTAATTGTGTCGTAGTTGACAACGATACAATTCCCGGGTTTAAGAATCTCGTGAATATTTTCACTATAACTTTTTGTTATGAGACAAGTGGAAACTGTTTCGATTTTGTTTATAGCTGTTAGTGTAAACCTGAAAGTGTATTTAGAGGATTTGTTTTCCGGCCCGACATATATGACAGCACAGTAAAGGCCGCCTGCTATAACTTTCCAAACAGCATAGAAAAGTTCTCCGAACACTAACAATGCTTTACTCATACATAATGTATGTGTCAGTGGCGATAAATGACTATAGAATTTTCCTCCTCCGTAAATTTCTAAACTCATTCCTTTGTGGTCTCTCAGAACATGACTTTTTAAGTCTGTTATAGGGCAATTCCGGGTACAGTTCACGTTTGATATCTTGGAGAAAGGGCACCTGTAGCTTCCAAAAGCACATTCCGCTTGATGTTCCGATAAGAGGTGTATGGGGAGAAGTTCAGGGCACCCGGCCTTGTTGTTGGAGCAAGGGAAGCCGATATGACGCGATATTTTCTCCAGTGACAGGTTGCGGACAGGAAGAAACCGTTCTCTGCAAGTCGGACACCGGTGAAGGTTCGGCTTGCAAGCGAAGCAGATGTTATGTCCGTTCCCGCAAATTGTAATGGGAGGTTCCATGTATTCGTAACATACAGGACATTCCAGTTCCTTTAGTATCAGCTGGTGAAGTTCAGTAGCGTCCATTGGGAATCTATTTACACTGTAATCAGCTTCTGTAACGCATAATTATAGGTTATAAAATATATTACACTAATCACATATAACTACTGAATATGAGGAAGTTTACAGCTACGGAAAATGAAAAAGTTGACAGTGGAACCACGGTTCCGGAGAATCTGACGTAAATACGTCTCTGTAATGTAATGTAATGTAATAATTCTTATATAAGATAAGTACCTGTGATATTGTAAAACGTTTTTACCAGCACAAAATTATCTAGTCTACGACGCACTTCTTCTACAAGCGATTCACAGCTCAGCTCTTTCCGCAATAATGAAAGCGGATTGTTGACGGCAATAATGTAACTTAACAATGCAGAGTAAACAGATGACGCAACAATTAGTTTCTTAGGCAACATAACAATGCACGCAGGAGTTCATATAAAAGCTGACCATTGTTGTCGGTCCATATTTACACATTGTTGGTATGGATCTTACACTTTTTTGCCGAATGACCCTTCCGTATAGATGTATTTACGTCAGAATATTATAGCCTGTTTTATTAATTATGTGCAACTGTATACTTTGGCAACCATAAATCTGAACAGGTTACGATAACGTCTCAGTAAATATGAGAAATGTTCCATTACGTCAATTCCGTGTAGCTGTAGATTTAGAAATACAGTAGATTCCGGCTAATTGGGCAATTGGTTAATCGAGCAGCCGTTTATTTGGGACAAATCTTAAACAACAAACCTTTTTTACTCTTTACGTGGAACTTCGCGTAATTAGGGCAGCCGTCTAATTGGGCCAAAGTGTTCTAGTACCGATGTGTTCAAATTAACCGGAATCCACTGTATCGTACTAGATTAATTATAAAGAAGATTAAATTATGAGAAATTGTCTATTGAATTAATTCCATGCTAATGTAGCTGACGTGAGATGGTTTACTATATCTGTCCTACCAAACCGCATATCAATAGAAATATTGGACTGCATTAATCACATGTAAGTGCAGATTGTGTTATATTAACCCACTATGATGTGTTAACACTGCACACCAAGAAATGTCAGATTAAGTTGACCGGAATAACGTTTTATAAACATCATAAAACTGAGCAGTATTGGTGTCGGATGTTTGTAGCAACTTGCACCGGGTGTTTATTTACTTGTAGGTTGGTTTAAAATAATTGAACACAAAACTGTTTTTATTTTGTTGAAATACCTTAAATATCTTGTGCACGCCGTTTCAGGAATGAATTAGCGAATTACTGTATTTACGCACCTGGAAAAACGTCTTATTTGAGTGAACCAGCATCCATCACTTTCCTTTAATATTTTTCTTTATGTTTGCCTACAGCAAGTCTGTTTTAATTACTTCATAACTAATTACTTTCCTTGTTTGTCTTGTTCAAATACGGACGTGTGGCCTGTTACTATTTAGAATTAATTCCGTAATTTCGAATAATTAAGATATTTTTTACAGTTGAGAGAGAGACACGCCACAGGCCCCTAGTTACACAGGACAGCAAAATAATCACGTGACTATGTTTAATTATTTAATCATTTTTAGTTCAAACTATATATTTAGCTGCAATTTTATATTATTTGTATGTGTTGTTTTAAGTCATTTATGAAATCATTATAATTAAATTACTGAAAATTTTGGACAACATGAGGTGTTATGATGACTTTTAATCAAGAGTTGGTCTTGAATAATTAACTGAGAATTCATGTTTCGGGGTATTTCGCAGTTTTTGAAATCCAGTGTCTTCAGCACTGTAACTTCTGGTTAATTTGACGGGTTTCCTGTTTGTTATTTCCAAGTGTTTAGATCGTGTGATTTGATAATATGCGCCAAATGAGTTTGCCTAAAATATTTGACAGTGGTTGAAACAACACATGTTTAATAGTTTAAAATATGCGGCACTCCCCAAAGCATCCTAAATATTTATTATGCTCTCTTTGTTCTTATCCGTAGTGTTAATTGCGATTATTAACCAAGATTTGTATAATATAGATAAAACGTTTTGTGTCAAATACCATATTGCAATAACATTGATAACTGTCACTTTATTTATTTTTATTCGTATTTTAATACATGGTTACGCCAACGGAATTGAAGGAATCGGCGAAACACAGTTATGGGTAGACTAACCGCAGGCACTAAAATTTAATTTTAAAAATTTCCTTTACAGTCTTTTGCATCTTACTTTACCATACATATTGAAAAAATTCAGTCAGTAAGAAAAGAGGCCAAGCGTCCAAAACTCACGACGTATAGGATCTCACAAAAATTGGACCTTTTGATTCTATAAATATTTACATGTTATCCGACTAGTTACATTAAACTGTATATTTCCTTTTCATTTGCAAATTCGATGAGAAATCTCTGATTACATTTCATGAATGAATTAAGGAATCTGCAATTCAAAAATGTATCAAGCTGTGTCGGAAACTAACCACAGTATTTAGTTCATTGACACAAAAAGTTACTTACCGACAATCCGCAGTTGACCACGATGGAAGACAGTACTGACAGCTCTGATCTTAACTTCATGCGCAAAACACCCGTAAGAGGGCACGTTACTTCGATCGCTGCACGTAAACAAATCCGTTACGTGCAGGGCTTTTCCGAGTGTCGCAGCGTTACGAATTGAATATTACAGTTTTAGAAGGCGGAGTAAGGAGAGTGCATTTTCAGTTGAATTACATTTTTAAAATTTTTATATCAGTGATATTTTCACGAAAGTATATGTAGTGAACACATATTGAGGAGAACACACGAATCCATCCATTCGCGTGTCCCGAACTTTTATCTTCGCATCTCGGAACCTCCTGCTTCTTACTTTTTAATTCTCTGTCAAAGATAGTTTTTGATAATTGTGCAATTATGTTAGGTGCAGGCAGAAATAAAGGACAATGATATTTTGTGTGGTGACAGTTCTCAAGAGACTATTCTCCTTATAGCATTATTTCTGTTTTGTGTGGGTCAATGAATGAAAAGTGTCGAATCTCTTCCATCTCCCCACAGTACAAAATTTTGAGTTTCTTGCTAGCTGATGTGGACCTTTATTTAAAGCTGAAGCAAAGGCATTATAGTCGCGTAATTCGATCGTGTTAGATGTGGAAGGGCATATGTGTTAGTTACTATTCATTTTACCCAACAAGTGTCATTCTTTGAGCGGTCTGTTGTTTTGAAGAAAGAAGAAATCATACTTTGTTCATTGTACCGAGTGCTCAGCTTTGTTAGTCCTGTCCATGCATGGTAATTTTGTATTAAATTACATAATTATCCAGTTAAGTTCCACAAATTATGTAGTGCCTGCAGCAGGCTAAAATGTGTGCGGAGTAAATTCTTAGGATTCATCAAAATGTGTTAAATATTTAATAATAAACAGGTACATTTGCAATATTTTCTCGTATGTACAGCTTTCCGCAGTTGAACATTTTCAGAAATCTTGAAACCATCTACACGATTTTTTGAAGAAGACTGTAGATGCTAGTTCCATTCAGTCTCATTGATAAACTAGGGGTCCTTCAAAACAAGCTCCCTTTCTGGAGATACGAAGCTCCGAAACGGAGGCCAAACTCAAACTTCGGACAGGTGAATTTTCATCTCTGGAAACACGCAATGGCACAACACATAAAACACATTCGTATGTATATTCCACCATGAAAAAGGAATTTTCACTGCCAGCCATTTCCAGGCAAAAATGATGCAGTTTTATTTTTTCATGTAGGCGTAATGTTACTAGACGATGGATAATATCCAAGAAAATTTTTATTCAATTGACTCTTCACCATCGTCAAGAAGTTTTAGATTTGTTATTTTACATTGTTCAAATAATCAAACAATTATTATACCAAAGACACAGAGCACAGGCAAAACATATCTGTCCACTCCAAATGCTAGGGGAGTAACGATGATGATAATAATAATAATAACAAACAAAGTCGGTTCTGTGCCTGATAATCACGTCATGAAGACGTTAACAGAGCGTCGAACTAATTTCATATACTGTTCATTACAGACCTTAGTACGCTCAGGCACTGGCTGTGTTTGCTTGGAAAATACATTAGTTTTGAACCAGGAAGTTTCTCTTTTCCACCAACTGTAGATCGACTGTAAACCTGGAAATCCAATTCCCTTTGTTCATCACATAGTCAGCCACTTTGCTCATTCAAAATCGCAAGTCGGTACTTACCCTGTAAGTGTAATATAAGTAATCCGTCACTGTCCGTCTTCCTCAGTGAACCACAATCACTGAACGAAATTGCATTAGTTCAGTAGTAACGCGCTTGGAAATTGTATTCCGTACCGGAACACACAGAATATCGACATGCGTTCTTTGCAACATAAATGTACACATTAATTCCGTCACTCTGTTCTCAGGCACCCTCAGTCTACGTTCCTCAATTAAGCTACCGATGTTCGTGTTATCTGTGGTCGCCATGGCGAGAGGAACAGCTGAAGAACACAATTAAGCAATACTCTCCGAAAGGCTAGTACAACACCGACTGAAACACTGTCAACGGAGCACAGGTGGTAAAAATTCAAAGGATATTATTGTCATGTTGTGTACAAATTTGAATGGCACCGACAAATTACTCCCATTGATTATTAGAAAATACAAAAGCCCAAGATGTTCCAACATTGTGCACGATTGGCCTTGCGATTATCGATATAATGCAAGGGCTTGGTTGACGGGTGAAGATTTCCAACAGCGTATTTTGTAAGTGAAAAATCAAATGAAGGCAGAGAAGCGAAACTTCTGCTCTTGATTGACAATTGTTCGGCGCGTAAGAATGTGCCACGATATGTTGAGAACATTAACGCTGTGTTCCTGCCACCTAATATTGTACTTCAATTTTTCAACGTCTGGACGAGGGGATAATTCATACAGCAAACGTCGCGGATAGTGCGGCGAATGTGGGTTGTGACGCAAACAAAAATATTTTGGAGGCAATTCAGAAGCTCAGAGGGGCTTCGTAAACATTAAGTGCTGCTACAGCTACGAATTGCTTTCACAAAGACGTAAGGAAAAGTGAAATTGAAAGTGCAAGTGACGCTGATTGGCTACGACGTGACACCAAAAGGCAGGGGCTGCTTGGACTCTTAATAAATCTTTGGAAAATGTGACGCTTGGGAACGTCAATTAGCTAGTGATCGGCACAGCATGATGAAAACTATCAATGATGAGATAAAAAAAATGACAGTGGAACAACGGTTCCCTAGTTAACGTTGAATAACGTTTAACTGTAGAAGTATATTTGTACTGAAATAAAATTTTATTTACACATTAATGTGTACCTTTACATATTATCTATACGTGACGTCATCCGCCGACAGCTTATCGATGTGTTGCGTCATGTACTGAACACACTCACTCTAGAACCGTTCTTTGCTACCACATAAATGGCAAAAACTCCTAAACCGTAAGAGTTAGCTGAAATCTGTTTGCAAATTTGAAAAGCTTGTGTTTATTTACGTATTTCACTCGCAATATGTCCGGATCTAACTCTTACGCTTCAGACGTGGTAAGCGGTTGAAGTTAAGGAACGAGGGTATAGTTATTACATGTTTTGGGTAATCATTTCAACAATGTGTGAAATATGCATTATAGAATAAAGTCAACATCATGTAGAAAAAGTCCTTTATTTACTCTTTAATTTACATATAGGTTTATATTCTCTATCTTACATAGGTCTCGAGTTATTGGCTTTCGAAGAAGTTACACACCAGTGTTACCTTATATCTTACAATTTCTATCGAGTGTACCGTGATTTTATAAACGTTATTCAACGTTAAAAATATTTATTGCAATTCGAATGACTAGTTGAGAAACCCACCTGATTTCATTCAGAAGTAAAGGCTGGACCCTTCCGCTATATTTCATATCTCTGTTTTATGATCCTTAGCAATTGGGGAGTGACGTATGTTCGTATAATCTGTGGCAAAGATTACTAACGGTTCAATAACAAAAAGCAGTAAGCTGCACAGTTTTCTTTCTCATAAATTGAATCCATACGTACTTCAAACGGTCGGAACGCAGAAGTATCATGCGAAGTGACGCCAACAAATGTACCGGCCGAAACCACTGTTTGGCTTTGTAAGATTTGAGGTTTTCACAGCGGTAAGTATGAAGATTTCTGTCTTCTGGGTTGTTGCGCTGTGTAGTCTGGTCGATGTTTACCAACGTTTCAGAGGTCATACTGCGTCCGTCATCAGGGCATTATCATCTGTGCTGCTGGTCATGACTAAATCTTTGCCCAGGTGTGTCTTCTATGTTTTGTATAATGTATGCTGAGTAAAGTGTTGTGTTCAGTGTAGTTCCAGACGTTGCACTTACTACATTTCGAATACAATTATAAAGGTAAATATGAACATTGATAACTTGTTTTTATATGTTTTTATTAAAAGTAAGTGTGGAGTTATTGAATTGACAGTGTTACATGATACGAAGAAATTGCCGTTGTTGGAGGTGCTTAGAGAAGATAAAAAGGTTGTTTTAAATAAATGTATTCCATAGACACTAGGAAGAAGCGTGTGGAACAAATCACAGAACATTCAGAGTTTGAACATTTTCAAAGAATATCCACTATAATATTGAACGTCACATACATCATTATACTAATAAGAGTATCTAAAAAATGTTACATTTTTGAAAGTAGCCAAATTTCATTACACAAAATATGTGGTTATTAAAACAGTATAAAAACACTTTTGAATGTCTGAGGAGAAAATTTTCTCAGTGACTTTTGTGGAGAGTGTAACAAAGTTTGACGGAAATTGCCTCAACAATTATCACTTAACACCAAAGATCTACAAGATCTATCCTGCATGCTTCATGTGTTATGGAAATGGTTTACCAGACAAGATATTGTTGATTTTTGGCACACGAGAATCAAGAAATGTATCACTTCACTTATTTTGGCAAGAAGGTGGCAGTTTTCTGGGTTGTAGTACCATGTAGGTAGCCAGTATCTGAATCATTGGTAATCTTCTACCAGACTGCATGGCATAACCTGGAAGACAGCTGTTTTCATACTCACAACTGTGAGAACCTCAAATCATATTTATGCAATCTGGCAAGTTAAAAAAGAATGAGATGCCTATGAAAGACAACTAACACACTGGTGCAAGCAGGTTACAACATAATCTGCATGGGCTTTATATAGTCACAGTGATATGTTTATTAATCCAGTCAAATTGTATTGAACTGCAGCCATCAGTAAATATGTGTTTTAATATGCGTTGCATGACTTTTCAGTCACCTGTGTAAGAATATCAGTTGGCCTTTCTACAAGAATGTGACATAGGTTGTTTCCATATGTATCACATTATATACACTTACATTACAATTAGAAATTACAATATTTACAATCAAACACATGATTGAAGATAGCTGTCTTCTGGGTTGTAGCACCATGTAATCTGGTAGCAGTTTACACAGCCTACTGCGAAAGGCCCTTCCTGCTCCTGATTAGTGAAGTTTAATTTAAGACTGCAACAGGCTGCATGAAATGTGTTTCTGTGCGTAACAATCCCTCACCGGCTGTGGATATTAAAGTATTCACAGCTTTCTAACCTTGCTGTTTAGTTTTATATTTCTGCTGTTTTTAATTTGTATATACAGTGAAAAAACAACAGCATGTGCATCAAGATCCACATTTAGTGGGCTAGGGCAAGAATGGCCATTTGAATACAATCAACATTTCCACACTCTGTTTTTGTAGGCTAATATTAATTTTAAATATATTCTTCCCACATACAGTTTCTTCCTGCAACTGGTATCTTCTTCTAAAATTTTGTGTGTACTTAAGCTCTGATGAATATTAATGGTAGTTGCAGTTTCCATAACCTCAAGTTTTCCATTTTACATGTTTTAATGTAATTCAAATAATGCTATTTCATTGATTCATGTTTTCATGTGTCATTAGGTTTAGGTATTGTATAGAATTTCTGAACTGTCATGATTTGTTTAAGGGAATGTAAGTGTTGTAATAGAGTGGCAGCTTTTTTGTGCCAGTAAATGGAATATGAATGCTTGCATATTAATAAGTATAAAATTTGCTAAACTGTTTAGTTTCTTGAATACATAGCAGGGGACATTGTAAATTACTTCACTTGTTTGAAATGAAGGTGCTAGCACATACCTGTTATTAGATTTGCAATATTTCCTTTTCAACATTTTACTTTACCACATCACTGTTGTGGTCAGCTTAGTGCTCTGGAGAAAGATTCCCCACTGCCCAATGAAGAAGTGGCAAGCTAGGTCCTGAAATTGCTCAAATTTTTTGTACCATGAACTAGAATTTGGCCTCCCATTCCATAGACGATCACTTTGCTGAAGATTGCTGTCTTCTGAGTTCTTGCACTGTGCAGTCTGGTAGATTTCCACCAACATTTCATAGATCATGCTGTCTCCATCATCAGCCCTAATGACAGGCAGCTGACCTTTGAAACCTTGGTGGACATCTACCAGACTACACGGTGCAACAACCCAAAAGACAGAAATCTTCAAACACTGCCGTGAAAACCTCAAATCCTACATGATCACTTTGCTGATTTAACTACAAATGTGAGAAAGTGACATTTGTGTTTTGCATAAACAGTCCTCCCTTTTATACAGTATGAAATTATGAATGTCATTACAGGTGGAAAGGAAGAGAAGGACCCCTGCTGTGCGTGATGCTGTACTTGGGAGAACACGGTGCAGCCTTAGACAAGCCGCAGCAGGGGAAACATTGCAGCATGCAGAGGGAACACTGTTACTGAGGAAGGGGAAGGAAACATTAGTGCCAGAAGGTGTTGAAACTATTACCTACGAATCCCTGCGTGATGAACACTGGCCCAGAGTGACTCTGCCTTCCATGCTGTGGGCCTTCCATAAGGAACCCACTGGAAAATTTGTTGCATTTACCCATATATCAGAAAACACTTCAAGTACATTTGTATCAACAGACAAGGCAGTTGTGTTTGATGGGGCTCTTGAGGCAGAGGTGTATGTACGTGGAAAGAAGGTTACACCACAGAACTTCCAACACCATACTCCAATGACAGTGGAGGATTTGGATGCTCTGCTTTATAATGTGGAGTCACTGAGTCTTTGCAAAGGGACTGGTCTAGATTTATCCCGCTACAGTCCCGACTGCTGCCTCTTTCTGGAGAGGAAGTACCGCAACTCACGATGTTCTAACTGCTCACTGAAACGAACACATCTTAAGAAGACTGAGGCTCAGCGCCTGAGGAGGGCAGCAGCTAAACAAAAGGAACCGTTGAAGAAACAGGCATGAAGACTTTTGTTGATGTGACCAGTTTTCCGTTGATTTTGTCAGTCTTGACAGACAAGAAGATGAAGATGATGAGTTATACTGCTTTCAATACCAGAACATTGTCACTGTGTTGCGTTTCTCATTATACATAGAAAACTTTATGTTCGCCTGTGTGTTTTTGAAGCTGTACCACTTTCCGTTTTGGGGCGTAGCATTCAATGGTGCCAGTATTATTTTTGACTTAGAAAATTTAATTATCAGGATGTTGTTATTAATCATGAAGAATCAAGAAGTTTGATAAATTGGCCTAACACAGAGTTTTGTAAAAGTTGGGAAATTGGTTCAAAAAGCTTTCAATACCAGTATATGGTTGCTGTGTTGCATTTCTCATTATACATAGAAAAATTTATGGTAGTTTGTCTTTCTTGAAGCTGAACCACCATTAGTTTTGGGGCTTGGCATTCAGTGGTGCCAGTATTATTTTTATCATATAAAATTTGATTATAACTATGCTGAATCAAGAAGTTTGATGAATTGGCCTAACAGAGTTTTGTAAAAAATGGGGAATTGGTTCAAAATGTATTTCATTAAACACAGAGGGCCCTGATGATGCAGCGAGTCAGTTTTTTTGTTGAATTGGGAAATTTTTCTAAGGAAAGTGCTAAACCTTTGTGCTACAGGAATGAATGTGAATCTTACTGCATGACGTTGAACGATGACAAATATAATTTGAATATTTTTTATAAATGTCTGATATTTCTAAGCAGTTTTCAGAATCATACATTCATTTAAGGCTGAAATAGTGATTGAAAAATTGAATGGAAGTTCCCATTTCCTTCAAGTTTATGTTGCATCCCTTGTCTTGAAGCTTGTGGGCCTCAGCTTTCCTCATGTGGGATGAGGTGGGCTAGAAGGTTTCCTGTAGTGTTTGGTGATGCATTGATATCTTGTAGTGTGTTGGAGGGAGGTTGGGAAACTTGAACAGACTAACAGAGTGGTCATACCAATGTATCAGGGTAAGTCAGAAAGTTTCCACAGCAATTTATTTTATTATAAAATATGCATACAAACAACTGTTTACACTATGTAGGATACTAATGCATTGTTTGTATGCATATTTTATATTACAATACACTACACAGTATCCAAGGTTTTAAAATTTATTTTATTGCTTTTTGTGTTGGCTGCACTGCTTATTTTGCACACAGGTAGAAGCACCTATGCTGTACATTACTGTGAAATACTTTGAGCCTTGACTGGTCAATTGTAATGAGGTTGCAGTAGAGTTAACATGGCTGCTGTGCTTTTTGTGTCAACAAAAGAAGAGCAGCGCACAGTAGTACGATTTCTGTGGGCTGAAGCTGTACCAGGGACAGAAATCCATTGTACGCTTTCAATACAATATGAAAACTGTGCTTTATCACAGTGAATTGTGTACGAATGGATAACCATGTTCACAAACGGTCTCATAAGTGTCACCGATGAAGAACGATCAGAACGCTCGTCCACATCCAATGCAGAGGAAAACAATGAAGAAGTCTGTGCCGTTAATTCTGGATTGGGTAACTTTTGATGAAGAGGCGCATTTTCTGCACATCAGTCATGGTTCTTCTCATGCAGTCATTGAAGACTGACTTGGGTTCCATGAAGTTTGTGCAAGATGGGTTCCAAAACAACTCAGAGAAAAGAAGAAAATCTGCTATCATAATGAAGGTGACATTGTTTTGAGATGCATTGTTACTGGGGATGAGACATGAAATCACCGTTTCACTCCAGAAAATAAATTCCAGAGTGTGTAATGGAAACATCTGACATTGCCAGCCACAAAGAAGTTCAGAACTCAACCATCAGAAGGAAGAGTTATGTTGACACTTTTTTGGGATGCACAGGGGCCAATTTTGGAACAATATCTATAGACAGAAACAACAATAAAGAGTGTCAGAACCCTTATGTATATGGGGTTCGTCAGCTAGCAACATGGCTGACATCGAAGTCCCTATTGAGTGGACTGTGTACTTCGATTACAAGGTGATCATCAGTTTTTGTTGTCTGCTACCATTTATCTGCTACTTACATATTTAAATAGCCTTTGCTCTGTAGTGACATACCATGATGAGTTTTCTTAATCTGGATGGTCTAGGTTATTTTAATATACTAGTTGGCTTGCATTTTACTCAATATCAATAACTAATGCCTAAATACTTAGTGTTTGTTAGTGTCCTTATTCACTCTAATTGAAAGTGTACATATTAAAGGTATAATGGGTTTAGTAAAGGCACCCTCACAACATAAATTAGCTATTAAATACACAAACAATGCATGAGACACCCTGCCCATCAGATTTAATATTTCTCGTCTGACTTCTTTCGTTGGACCTAGTTATCTGCTTGATGAGGTACCACGTGCTTTAGCCTGTCTAGTTTCTTGTACACTTCAATAATGGTCGTTCAGCAATCAGTTAAATTCAACTGAAGCGTAATATCATGTTTCTTACAAAACCCCGGAGTTAATCCAATGTATTTATCTGTCATATTCAGATTTCCTAGGATCCGGGGTTGCTCAGTCAGTATAGTAACTGGCCACGGACTGGACCACCGGTTTTCGATCTCCAACGTGTGCAAAGGATTTTTCCTCTATCCTCTGCGTCCAGATTGGTTATGGGGCCCACCCAGCCTCCTATTCCCTAGGGAAAGCACGGTCGGGGCGTGATGCTAACCACTCGCCTCTCCTAATGGCAAGGTTAAGAATGAGTAGGAGCTATACCTCCACTCCCCCCAAGAGCCTACACGTCGTATAGTGGGACAGCTTTACTTTACTTTTATCTAGATTCCCACTTGCTGTATGTCTACATCACTCACCTTCCACTGGCTGCTGTAAAGTCTTGCTTCTGCCTGATGTTTAAAGTACAGTCCTGGGGCATTCTGAATATCCTCAACGCGAACGCCAAGGTTGACAAATCCTGATGCTACGCTCAGTGCAGTACTTTTGTAAAACAAAATATCCGATTGTAGACGATCCTCAAGAAATTGGCTCTCATTAAAATGTTGAATATATTACTACCAACATTTTGGACTCAAAAGTATGGAAAAGGGCTTGTTAACGATATCATTAATGCCCTTCTATTTGAGGTCCATGTTGCCGGCTACAGTTCTATGGGCCCTGCTACAAAATTTAATGAAAGATTAGAAAGAGGCGGCGTAGGGATTAGTCCGTTAGAACAGCGGTTCTGAACATTCTGACCTGCGGATTCCCTGTAAGTCATTACTGGAAGCCACGGACCCCTAAGCCATTTACACGGTTTGAACCTCAAAGCAATGCACAACAAACAAATACACACATTACGAAATATTTTATTTAATTCACGAACAAAAACTATACAGAAATCGGAATGTTAATTTTAATGGGAAGGTTGTTGCATCTCAGCCGCTAGCTTTTCAATATTTTGTTTTATTTCGAAAAGTTGAATTCTGAGGTCTGTTCTACATTTCTTAAGCGGTTTCTGTATTTATTTTTTAGATGCATTAGAGCTGAGGAAGCTTTTCACATAAATAAGTGGTGGGGAATGGAATTCAAACTTGGGTGCTTTTGTATGGTAATTCGGAATAATCCGTTCGTACTAACTAACTAGATGGGTTACCGATCCCGAAGGTTCATCACCGAATTAACCAAAGCCATCCACCGGACTCTATCGTGGGCCAACAAAATCCAGTCTCCAACTCCTATCTCCCATAGATCCCGCCTGAGATCATCCCATCTACGTCTAGGTCTCCCGAACGGTCTCTTCCCCTCAGGCTTCCTAACCAACACCTGGTGCACACCGCTTGTCCCATCCATGCATGCTACATGCCACGCCCATCTCATTCTTCTCGACTTATTCGCCCTGACAACCCGTTCGTACATGAAGTTAAAAATTCGCCAGAGACTTTTCCTTGAATTTAAGTTGCAGTGCACTGTCCGTAGAGATTTCAATTAAGCCATTTTCTTCTTCCGCTGCAGTAAGACCTGTTAATTTATCAATATCTACATTAAATGGAGTTCAAACTAATTTTTACTTTCGTCTCGTGAAAGCTGCATCTCAGATCTTACATATGGTGAGTAAAAAATTCCAAGACTTGGTTTGATAATTCTTCATCATCAGATTCCGGGAAGGTCTTCAGGTTTTGAAAAACATTGAAATTATTTTTTTAAGCGACAAGCCCACAATTCTAGCGTTCTGCTCATGCCTCACTCTTATCTTCGAAATTAAAAATTGCGATGCCTCCTCCACTCATGCTCAAGTTCGATGCATTTAGATGAGTGTATTTGTCCGCCATATACGCCATCGTGGCCAACCAAAAATAGTCATTCAAGCTCTCGGTAAGTGCGAATAGAGATTCCAGATCAATGAAGAATACTCTGATTTAATCTCTTAATTCGAAAAGTCGGGACAACACTTTGCCGCGAGACAGCCATCGGACTTGCGTACAGCAAAAGCTGCTAATGATCACTGTCCATAGACTGACTGGGATACCCGTTCTTCAAGTGCCTGAGCATCTGTGGGTCCCAACTTTCGTTGGCTTTGATCCATGGACATTCGGTAGGACTCCTTGGACGAGGGATCGGCCCGTCGCAAGGCCTCTACCTGTGCACAGGACAGCACAACACAGAGAGACGCGGACAGACATCCATGCCTTGAGTGGGATTCGAACCCACGGTCACAGCGACCAAGCGGCAGAAGGCCCACGCCTCAGATCGTGCGGCCACTGCGGACCCCCCATAGACTGACAGCTGGTCAAAAGGCATTGAGTTTATTACCTAGCTTCGATAAAATCTGCTGTTTTCACTGATTCGTTTTAGCCTTTTTCAATTCTTCTTGCATCTTCTTAGTGGCTAAAGATCCTCGGTTAATGCAACTGAAGGGTTATTTACCCTTGTTCGTGCAATCGGTCCAGTTAGTCTCGCAGACATGGCACGCGCCCCACTTGTGCTGATTACTACACATTTGGACCATTGAATCCCATGTGACGTCTGAAATTTATTCAAACTGTTGTACACCTCTTCAACAGTGGCATGGGTCAAAGAGCGGCGGAACAACAAATCTTCAATAATTTTTCCTTCGAACTATTACCTAACGTAACAGAGTAAATTACATTTGTTTACATAGTAATTTCATCTAACTGTAGGCTGTAATTCTCACTTATGCTAATTATTTCAGTCAACTGTTCTGTTACGTTGTCTCAAATTTTGTCAATTCGCTTTTTTATCGTGTGCCACCAAATTTAAATCTTTCGCTGCTTTTTCTCCGACCATTGCACTAATCATGGCTGTAGCATCAGGTAATATCAGTTTTTTGCTATTGTTTGAGGTTTTCTAGCTTTAGCTATTAGCATAGACACTTCATACGAAGCTTTCATAAAATTTTCATTGCAAGAACTCGTTGCAATCTTATTAATAAATTTCCTCCTTTGTCGGAGCTTTTGCTCTTAATTAAAGAGTAGAGTAGCATGTTCTTTATGCTTAGTTTTGAAGTGTCTTCATAATTCGGATGGTTTCATGGCCTCGTTTGGCAATAATTAGTAACATTACACGTATTGCGGCTGCTGTTTGTGTTCTGAACCTGGACATGTGAAGCCTATCGATAAATATTCAAGATCATATTTGCGACATTTATATTTTTTAATTAAATCACTTTGTTTATCACATGATGCACCTTTATTGACGTGTTTTTCCATTTGACCTTACGCCAGCGATCCATCGACCCTGGTACCTATTGGATAGGCACCAGAGTCGGTTTGGACATAGAGGGTAGAGGAAAAATCCTCTGCCCCCGTCGGGAATCGAACCCTAGTTGTCCAGCCCGTAGCTAGTTACTGTACTGACTGAGTTATCCCGGTTATGAACATTTGAAATACAGAGTAAGATCCATCTTGATATTATCCACCTATATCCTTCTTGGTCTGTCCAGTGGCTTTTCAGAAACGAAAATTCTGTATACATCCCTTGTCTCCCCCGATGCGTGCTACATTTCTAGCCCATAGGAGCCTCCTAGATTTCGCTATCCTCACTATGCTAAGTGACCTATACAATTGAAGCAGCTCCTCGTTACGCAGTATACTAAATTCCCCACTTATTTCATGCTCCCTAGGTCCAAATATCTTCCTGAGCACTTTTCAAACACTTGTAATCCACGTTCTTACTTCAAGGTAAGATACCATGTTTCACAACCATACAAAACAGGCAAAATTATTGTTTTGTATATCCTGATATTCAGTGCATTAGATGGCAAACGAGTTGGCAGTTTTTGAATTTAATAAAATATACTTTTCCCTAATGTATCCTGCTCTTAATTTCATCATCGACCTCATTTCTATTTGTTATTGTTATTTCCAGATACTTAAATTTTGAAACATTTTCAAATTGTGTTACAATTACGTACCGCCGTTGTTGCTGATGTTGACCCCTTATTACGCCTATGTATTTACTTATGGACCTGTTTCTTTGCTAGCCTGCAGGAGAGTTTCTGCATTCTTGCTTATGGTACCCACACCATCCCCCAGCAAATTGACATCATCAGCATAGGCACCATTCAATTAGAGCCCTCCCTGATTTCCTCTGACGTTCCTGGTGACATGTTCCAGAACAAAATTAAAAAACACTGGGCATAAAACATCTCCTTCTGCACTGGGAGCGGATCCAACAGAAGGTTACCTATACTAACTCTACTAGATACCCCGTCCATTAATCTAACAAGTTTCTCTGGTATTTCAAACTCAAAATACCGTATCAATTAACTACAGTGTTTGTGTGGTGAAGAATGTATAATCCGTTTGGTTTTACTAAATATATTTTAGATTATTAGCGTATTCACACGATTAATCAAGAATGTTGAATTCGGAGAAAACACATCGGAAGTACGTCGTTAAAATTGCGAGAGGCCCTCATATTAGACAAAATGAGACATAAGATGAAGATGGTGATGTCACCGGTGTGAAACTTCGAACACCACTCGATACATAACACAATTTAAATAGCTTAACATTAGTATCGTAGGTGATGTTTGTATGTGAATGGAGCGTTCACATTTACTTGGACTTACGTATGCAGAAATTCCGGTCATCGTAACTGCTGTTGCTGTATATTATGAGGATGAGCCAAGGAATTGAAAGAGAAAGGAATGATTACCCGAGTGTTAGGAAATCATGTTATGACTACATTCAAATTTTGGTTGAAGATTTCTGTCTTCTGGGTTGTTGCGCTGTGTAGTCTGGTCGATGTTAACCAAAGTTTCAGAGGTCATACTGCCTCCGTCATAACATCGACCAGACTACACAGCGCAATAACCCAGAAGACGGATATCTTCATACTCACCGCTGTGAGAACCTCAAGTCTTACCTACCATATTATCTGTGACCACCAGATAGCGATCGGTTATCACAGCCCGCTCCCCTGAAAGATCGGACATCAAGTACACTCGAACCCCGTCTCCTGTCTGCCAAAATATGGTCAATCTGATTGTGTGTCTTTCCATCAGATGTCCAAGTGCTACGATGAGGGAACATTGTACTCTTGAGAATTGAATTTTTGGATGTGGCAAAAAATTTACTACTCTAACTCCATTATTATTACTGATTAATTGTATTTGTCTCCAAATTATATCAATTTTGAATAACTCTTAAACATTTTTAATATATCCTTATCTTTCCAATAACTGTCTACTTCTTTAGACTCCAAGAAAGTAATAATGGACTACAGGCTATAGATGTCAATGTCTCTTGCAAAAGATGAATATCCATTGTATTTGCCATGGGCATTTTCCCTTGTGTCTTGTTCAGACTCAATTTAATCAAATAAGTCTCCCCTTTTTAACGCACAACATTTAATGAATGATTTTCCAAATATTTACGAGCTTTTATGTTATTTAGCCCAGAGATATGCCCTAGCTCTATGAAATTCTGGTTACTAATGCACATTGCACAAACTCATTACTTTTAACAATTGTTGACAATGTACCAATATTCAACTGAAGAATATCTTGAAAGTCCTGTTCTGTCTCAACATGGCACATGGCTTTCATGATACGTGAATCATATTCATCTATCAGAACAAATACTTTAGAATTAAGATGTTCGGACAATAATTCAGACAGTCTCCAAAGCAGAAGTATGACTCACTCATAGTTTCATAACTGTGTTATAAAAAAATCCCAAGTATTACTTGGTGTAATTTTTCTGTATGGGATCATCAGACTTTGTCGTTTGTACGCTGCGAGAACTAAAGACTGAATCAGGTTGATGATTGACACAAAAGAACATCACTAGTCGCTACGCTGTAATATAACATTGTGCGTTGTTTCTGCCTTTGATGTTCGATGCGATGAGAAACATATCGGACATCCAGCAGACATACAACAGGGAACAGTCAGGCCAGGTACCTAGACAAAGAAGGGGTTGTGGAATGATTTGGAGCTCTGCACAGTCTGACCATCAATATTAGAGCTACATTATACTTGAGTGTTGTACATTATTATACAGCGTATTTCAAAAGTAGCTTTACAACTTGAGGGCGAGATATTGGTGAACTGATAGGAGAAACATATGATTTCAGAACATAGAAATGTAGTCAAACACTTCAAGTTTTATGTCTATCTGATTTCTATGGTTCAGTATGACTTCCATTTGTTATGCGGCAGACGTGCCATCTGTAGTCAATATCTTGCCACACGCGGTGTAGCATCTCCGGTGTCACTTCAGCAACTGCGGCGGTAATTCGAGTTCGGCCACATTTGCAGGTAAGGGTGTCACGTTCACTCGATCTTTAACAAATCCCCACAAAAAAAAAAAAATCGAAAGGTGTTAGATACGGGGAATGAGGTTGCCATGCTATTGGTGCGGCCCGACCAATACACCGACCCGGGAAACGGTTGTTGAGGTACTCGAACACTTCTCCGAGGTAATGAGGGGGTGCACCGTTTTGCTGGAAGTGAATGCGTCCTTCCTGGTCATCTTCGTGAAGTTGAGGAATGAGGAACTGTTGGAGTATGTCCAGACACACAATGCCGGTAATGGTCTTCTCCGTGAAAAAGAAGGGGCCGTACACTTTATCTTTGCTGAGGGCGCAAAACACATTAACTTTTGGACTGTCACGAACATGTTCCAGGAAGGCACGTGGATTTTCACTACCCCCAAATCCTGCAGTTGTGGGTGTTATCCTATCGGTGACATGGAACGTGCTTTCGTCACTGAAAATTACTGAGTCCAGAAATCCTTCGTCGTCTTCAACCCGCCGCAACATTTCCGTACAAAATTCCTTACGAGCCAGTTTATCACCATCTGAAATGGCTTGCACCATGGATAATCTGTACGCTCTCAAGTGTAAACGTCTTCGTAACACTCGCCACAAAGTCACATGTGGAATCCCACTTTCCCGAGATGCACGTCTCGTTGATTTGCGTGGACTTCGAGCGAAGCTCTCCCTAATCTGTTCCACGGCGTCTTCAGAAACACGTGGCCTACCGGCTTTCTTGGTATGGCACACAGAACATCCAGTCTCAACAAAATTCCTGTGCCACGAATAAATTGTTGGCCTACTGGGTGCGAAATTTCCTTCGAACTTGTGTAGCAGACTTTGTTTCTTCGAACCAAAACACACAATAAGCCATCTTGATCACACTGGCCGGGAGCGCTCGCGGTGGCGGTTGTCGGTACTACAGTTTATGTGCATGAAACTTGATGTGTTTGGCTAAATTTGTGCATTTAAAAATATTGCGCACGTCCTTTAAATAAATTTATATTCTCCTGCAAAGTTGTAAAGCTACTTTTGAAACACGGTGTATATTTTTTACTTGAAGCGCGTAAGCATCTGTGCATGTTTCACCACCAAAACCACATATTGAATAGTCAGAACTGGGAACCTACATGTAAAGTTGCATGATTTGTGGTCTGAATTTGCATGGAAAGTAAATGTTGGGATAAGACTCTTACAGCGTCTACTGTGCACATGCCAGCCTCATCTAACGTGATAGGTTTTATTGTCATAGATAAATATGTGGCGAAGTCATGGAAGTATAAATATTACATTGGTATGGGATTGAATGCCTGCCTGGATGCTTTAAAGACAGCAGCCTTATAACCAAACTACACACTGACAACGTAGTAACTTACCATGAGAAATTTACCATTACATTCAAGGCTAAATAATGGAAAACTGAAGTAAAATACAAAATCAGAATCATAGCTGCTAGAATTCTGTTCATAAGACGAACAAGATTTCACTTGGATGGGTTTCCAACTGCTATTCACAATTTCACCTGTAATGTTAAGAGTCTATTTTAGGTATTCTGTAAGTTATATTCTATTCAGCAAATTGTTTAGAATAATATCAACAGAAACATAAATTCTAATTAAGAAACTGAAGTCAGATATTTTCTTGCAGCTGGTTAGTTGCTGCCTTCTCTCCACGGTGACTCAAGTTTGTGCCCTGTGATTTGCGATGGAGAAAGTAGCACTTAAACAACATTTTCTTCTGTTAAAATCATTCCACTGTTATTCCATATCCACTCAGAATATCATCTCGGGACTGGACGATGGGCCCCGTTAATGGCCATAGTACCATACATATAGTCCTGGCCCCCCTTTACAACAATAATAACAGATGTTTCCTTTCAAATGGAAGGTAGGCCTAAGTTAAAAGTAAATAAAACAGATATATAGATGCAAAATGTTTACTGGGTGTCCCACAAACCCATATTTATATGTTACAATTTCATTACATTGGCATTTATTATACCAAGATTTACTTAATATCTATTACATTATAGAATGTTTTAGATATTTAACATGAAGGCAACAATATATTCTAGAACTGCATGTTTGTATGTGTGTGTGTATAGTTTTCACTGGAATAATTCCAGTATCCCCAGCATTATATAAAACTACAAAGTTCTTAAAGTGTATAAATATCCCAGTTATCAAAAAAGACAAAATACTCCCCTCACACTCTGGTCACACAATTATGAATTGCAATTGAATTCAATAATATACAGGGTATACACAAAAGAATGGTGCAGTTTCAAAAGTTACTAAAAAAATTATTTCTCACCTTACACAGGCACAACATACAGGTGTAAGGTGAGAAATAATTTTTTATTAACTTTTGAAACCGCACCATTCTTTTGTGTATACCCTGTATTTATTCAGCTGCAAAACACTACTGCCACACAATGCTCACTATGGTACTAGCACTGTGACATGCTGAACTGGTACTTCTGAATTCAAACTTATCCCTGGTTAGTAATGGTCTTGATAAAAGCTCTATATCTTTCAACCATTGGAGTGTAAATCTGAAAAGAGAAAGAGAAAAGAAAACGAGCTTATTAATGTACAAAAGGCAAGCAAAGTTATGTTTTGTATTATATTTGCCACTCCTACCTCTCTCCAAAGATAGCATTCCATCACACACAAAATTACATGAACCATTTTACTGTCAAGGACAAAGTGATCTACTAATACTGAAAGCAACAAACTGTTTATGATCTAAGACAAATATATATATATATATATTGAATTCTGTTGATGACTAGGATAATAAAAATGCATTAGTTACTTCATTTATCATTGTACATGATTTACTCATGTGCCATGTAACTTCACTAAAGCTTTGTTCCGGTTGCAAGTTAATATAATGGCAACTATCAACCAGACCAGTTTGTATCTTGCATGCCTGCAGTCTGCGCTAAAACATGTCCACTGTAACACATCAACTATTGTGCTTTCATAAATTAATCAAGTGTAAGCTCTTAAAATGTCTTGTGCCAGTGTGACTTAACTAAACTATTGTTCCTGTTGAGTATTAGTATAATTGTAACTATTAACCAGACCAGTTCATCTCTTGTGTGTCTGCAAAGTTGGACTTTACTTCCTGGCAAAACTAATAGGTGTTGACACTACACTGTTTCTTTCTAATACAGAATTTTATTTTCCTCTTTCCTCGCTATTAGTTCACGGTTATCAAAAAAGTAGGTGCATTCAATTTATCAGCAATAGTTAAGTTAGTGCCATGTTGGCCTATGGTGCAGATGACTGGGCTTTGATTTCCTATAAGATAATGTTTTAATCACAGTGTTTATAATAATTTCAGAGGCCACATAATTTAATTTATTTTTTGAATCTCTGCATCATCAAAGCAGACTATACAAAACCCTCTCCAAGTCTCTCTTAGATAAATCAACCACAATGATATTGTCTCATTTAACAAGTTGGAAATAATAACTGAAACCCATGATGAAGTTAATATAAGACTGAAGTTTCTTCATTAGAGTCCATGCAGAGATCATTGAGATCCATGGTTGAAGACCAGGGGTACTGGACATGTTACTCAACATGCCAAGTCTTGAGAACAGGTCATTCAAGGGTAAACATACCAAGTCATATTTTGTTCAAGTAATTTGTATACTTTACAAAACAAAATAGTCTGTCTACAGTCAGATTAAAAAATGGAACCCTTAAATCACATTACCAACAAAAGACAAATAACAGAAAAACAAAGAAATACTTGCTTTCCTCACATTTCTGTAGTGATAATGTGAATGGTAATATTGACAGTCACTTATTTGCTCCTTGAAAAAAGTTACTGGAATGTATGTGCTTTACACACAACAAAAAATAAACATTTTTTAAACCTGCATAATATGGTATCCATCTGCAATTGCTCCTGGTATGAATTAAACAAAGAAGAATTTTATTTAATTAAAACTATGCAGATATCAGGACTCAAAATTAGAAACTTGATATTCACATCAACACTACACCCCATCTTAACAACTTGCCTATGAGGCAACATGGGTAACTAAGCGTCACTGACGTCAGACAGTGAGTGACATGACTCTCAAAAAATGATTGATATTAATCATGTTTTTTTATAGATTATGCAAATATATTGGTGTTCTTGCTTAACAGACATCTGGCACATGTAACTGTACTTAATGAAAGGCAGAGAAAAGCCACATATGGACAAATACAAGATTATGAATGACTGGTATTGATGCCAGCTGTATGCTTAGAAAATGTCAAGTGCTTGATTTTTGTTGTGCAGAGTGTACATCTTTTGACTGTTAAGCATGGAACTGTCTACCAAATAATGAACCAATGCCCCTTGTGACTTGTGATAGGAAAATTTAGAACATTAAAGGCTGCATCTACTCATGGCATTACACTGGTTGTCATCGTGTTTGACCAGCAGTACTTTCCGGTTGATTATAATCTGGATATTTGCACTTCCAACTGATGAAGAACATGTCTACTCATTCCTTTCTGATGCTCCAAAACATCAATATGCTTTCACTGGCATTCTTAAAATGACTTGGCTTCCAATAAATTGCATTCTAATATTTCAGCGGCTCTATCCCCTTGACCAACACAGGTCCCTAACCATACTAACCATAAACCTAGTCACGGGGGGCCTGGCCAAGAGTTAAACTTCAGATGCTTTAATAGGATATTGTAGGATCTGGCACAAAAAGGAACTGGCCAACTCTGCTACAGCAATAGGTCACTGTACCTCAGTTGCATCCTTACTGGGTGTACAGGCAAGTCTAGGCGCAGGAAGATTTTGTGTCATATCTGCAAAACTTATATCTTGATGCATTAGACCATACTTAGCCTGGTATGCAGCTCCCAACATGGCAGAATTAGATGCCTCCTGCAAAAATTATAATGGATTAGAGCAGTGATCGATGAATGTCATTGCCCTGATGACGGACGCAGTATGACCTCTGAAACGTTGGTAAATATCTACCAGACTACACAGCGCAACAACCCAGAAGACAGAAATCTTCATACTCATCGCCCTGATGACGGAGGCAGTATGACCTCTGAAACGTTGGTTAACATCGACCAGACTACACAGTGCAACAACCCAGAAGACAGAAATCTTCAGATTTTGGTATCCGTTGATGTCCATAAAGAGTACTCATTTGTTTACGTTTGAAAGTGTAGTGGCAATTTATTTGTCCGTTTGCAGGGGACCCTGTGTACTGAAACTCTCCAATTTGGCTCTGGTATTGCAGTAAGGAAGTGGACCCTTTTCTGATTGCGAATGACTGGATTTATGATGACAGTTGGATGCATCGTCACTTCCGAGTCAAGTGCTTAATTTAGTTGCACACAGCATACAATGGCTTTATTCTTCCAACAACGTAATGCCCAACACTTGTGTGTGTTTTTTTTACTACAGGAAGTTAAAAACACAATTTAGCTGCTTCAAGAAATGAAAGCATCACTGTGAATCCATGACTCAGAATGAGGAGCATCTGTAGAAGAGGAGAATTTCCTTGCATCATAGGCACTTTAGATGTAACTGACAATAGGACTCATGTGTTTTTGTTGTGCCATCTTAGTACTACTTCGTTTAACAGTAGATATTGATTCATGCAAGATATGAATTATTCTGAGAGATTTATATTTTTTCTCAAAGAATGGTATCATTGTTCCTGGTCTGGGCATTGTGACTTTTTGATGCACAGGCCAATTCTCACTCCCTGCTAGTTTCTGTGTCGATATGATCTGAAACAATCTGATTAATCATAAGCTAATGTAGATGAACAGTATGTTTTAATGCATTGAGTGCATTCACATTACTATTTATATGATTTATAAGTGCCTTCAAGTTAGAAACAGAACCCTCAGTGACAATGAGTAAACCTAAAAATTGTCTTACAACTGCCAGGAGAAATGTGCTGACTAGGATTGGAATCAGTGTGAGGTGGATCTAGATGATGGAAATTAATCAACAATACAGTCTTAAATCATACCTACACATAAAAATACTGAGTTTCAAAATTCGGTCTCCCAGCAGAGTGATTTTTTTCATCATCATCACTCTGAAAGCCATTGATGTAATCCAGTTGAGAGTAGCCAATAAATGTATGATGTGAAGCTTTCACGGCGGCTTTCAATAATAAAGTCCACAGTAAACAGTCTTGAAAATGAGGACAGAGATGGTCCTCAAAACGTCGGCGATTGATCACCATCTAACATGGCTGATAGCCCGAGAAGACTTTATTAATAGTCAATAAATGTTTGCATGTGTGTTCACAATGCTTTTACCGCTGTCATCTTTCTCATTAGCAGTTCTCTTTTATCAGGGACAGGGAAGGAAGGGATCTCACTTGAATCAAGATTGATCTGAAGTGCTACTACTGCTGTGGCAGCCACCATTATTGTAACCTGGGTTGACATCTCGACAAAACCCACACACGGAAGCAGCCAGTGTTAAACATCTGCAATAATGAAGGTGTCACCTGTGGCTTGAGGAATCAGTGCCACCACAAACTGTTGTTCCCGTGTCAAAGGAGTAAACAGCTGGCTGAACCTTATGACAGTGATGATCCTCAGCAATATGCACACCAGTTGAAACACAAAGAAGAGATCACAGAATTCACACACAAACATTAATGTCAAGGTAGGCTTTGAAGTTTTCATGGCACCAAGTATGAAGATGGCTGACTTCTGGGTTGTAGTGCCATGTAGTCTGGAAGAAGTTTACCAACGTTTCAGAGGTCCTTGCTGCCTCCATTATCAGGGAACTAAACCTGGCTCAGGATGTAGTATGTGACATGTCCACAGGACATTACATGCCGTTACTTTTCAAATTCCTTTCATATTTAGCAAAAAGTGTAATTATGATGCTTCTCATCATGCAATTTTCTTCAGTACTTTAATTACCAGTGCTTACAACATTTCAGATGTGTGAAGTATTATTTTTACCTACTAATCTTACAGTCCAAGAGCCAGAAAAGGTTGAGAACCACTAAACAGTACAAACACTTCCAGCTTACCAGGATACATGCAAAGAAAATTTCATTCTGAATCAAAAGCCAAGCCAAGTTCTACACACCACAATACACACTGTGCTTTCTTCTAGAAAGTCAATATGACTCTCCCACAGCTGAGTTCACACTGACATCACTTTCTTCTTCAAAGAGAACTGGTTACTCTTTTGCAAAGCCCTGCTTTTACTGATGTAAAGAACAGGAAACTTTCCAGCAAAGTGTACCTAATGAGTTATAATAACCCATCTTCAAGCTAGCATGTTCTTGCAGTCTGTGTGTGCAAAAGCATAATGCTGTTCATCACACCTCATAACTGCTGTTTCAAATTAAATAACACATTTATTGCAGTACACATGCCACAAACAGCATACTTATATGCACAAAAACATTGCTGTTCAATGCCCTGATACATGCATTTGATGGAAAAATGCAAAAGTCAGACTGATTTCTGCAATGGCCCCCCTGCAGACTCTACATGCAAGTACTTGAATGCCTACACCTCAGGAACAACATACAAAACTCCCACATTATAAGTGAGAGACATTCTGAAACAAGACAAGACTTACACTTACCACCCCATTCATGAAGCTACAAAAATTACATGACATGACAAAACAAAAGATTTAATTGCATGAAGATAAAAAAGAATTCTGTGTTAACACTCACCAGCGTATAGACAGAAGAGTTGAAGACATCAGCAAGAACTTGAAGGATGTCTAGATTGTTTGATGCTCCTCCAGTGGCCAGGATTCTAGTGTTCTTACCTAGTATTAAGCAGACATATGTTAGAACCAAAATGTAGTCCTCTCTTTAAAGAGAAACTGAAATGCAGAAAAGCATAATATCAACGCTTTGAAGCCAAGTGGTACTTTATGTACAAGCTGCTTTAACAATGAGTAACTATGAATTTTGTATTTGTGGGCTGTATGATTCTCAAAGTACACAGGATTTATTTCCTTAAACAATATCAATAACTTCTTCTCCATATACCTGTTCCAAGGCTAAAATTGGCCGCTCCATCTCCTGTGTGGCCGACCTACTTCTCTCCATCCGGTCAGTCTATAAAATAATGCTTGACGTGGATATCTTGGAGGTGACATCCTGAGTACATGTTCTTTCTAGTTCTTTTGATATTGTTCTATTTCTTAAACAATGTTAATTTCTCCTAATTGTGTTCTTAAATCTGTATTTCTCAGTCTATCTCTCCTAGTCACTTGACATAGGGATCTCGTGAAAGTCATTTGAGCAGCCTCTAATCATTGTTTATATCGTGACCTTCATGACCATGTTTCGATGGCATATGTAAGAGCTGGTTTTGACAATATGTTATGTAATTTTTGTTTTATATCTTTCTTCACACTGGTTCCAAAATGTATTTTCATACACCCATTCAATTTGTCATAGTTGGGGATACTTTCCTCTAAATCTGCGCTCATTTCTATTGTAGCTATTTTACAGCCCAAATACTTAAAATTTGATACTTGTCCAATACTCTCTCCATCAATAATAATTTTTACTCTCCTCTGTTCTTGTCCCAGCATGGTCATAGATTTTGTCTTATTGCAAGAGATCTTCGTATTGTATGTTTTCATTACTTTATTTAAGGTTGTTATTGCCCTTTATAGGCCATCTTCTTCTTCTGCTAGTAGAATTTGATCATCCACAAACAATGTAGTGTTAATTTCAATGTCCTTTGTTAGTATGATTAGTTTTGGGCTATAGGTCCTCCATATTTCCAAACCTTTATTTACATATACATCGAATAGAAAAGGTTACAAACTACATACCTGATGCAGGCCTTTATTTACTTTTAAGATTGTACATTTTTTCTTATCAATAGGACCACGGAGTTTAGTACTGATATATAGAGATTTAATGACATGATTAAATTTCTGGGTATTCTATATGTTTCCATTATTTTCCATAATTTCCTATGTTCAACTCTATCATATGCTTTGTTGTAATCTAAGAATAGTAGGAATGTAGGCAAATTGTAGTACTTTCTGTACAAGTTGCTTTAACAATGAGTAACTATGAATTTTGTATTTGTAAACTTTGTATGATTCTTAAAGTAAATAGGAATTATCTCCTTAAACAGCATCAATAACTTGATCTTTCTAATGGTGAAGTGTTGTGTTTTATCTGCAGTACAAATTAATTCTTAAATATTGTTTAGATGAGCTTCAGCTTCAAATGGTTAATCTGAACCAGTTCTTCAAAAGAAAAGTTGACAAAAATCAACGAAGCATGCAGTGGTAGTTTTGTTCGGGCAAGTAAATCAATACAAAACATATTTCAGAAGAAACAATGGTCTGAAAAAAGTAATGGGTGATAACAATAATCACAAAGGGACTGTTTGGGAAAGGCTTGAATACAAGGTGTTCGATTGAGAAGGAAACTTACCAGGAACAAAGAGATTGTTTTGACAGTAGTAAACCCTAAATCTTGCTATTCAGAAATTTATCATTTTCAAGGCAGAGGGTGAGGAGGCAGTCCTTATTTGTTTGTCTCTCAGTCTTTATTTATTCATATTCAAAGAAGCTTACAATTCAATAGTGAGTATTAAAACTGGGGAAGGGGAAGGGGTGCATTTGAAGTTTTATTTGCAAATTCCCATAATCACAAATTTCCATGTGTCTATGTTTGCGAAAAATGGTAGACGGTGGGTTTGGTTTGTGACAAAATGAGTGAATCTGGGATAAGAGTGCTGGCTAAAGAAAAAGTCTGACATTCACAGAGGATTAGAGATTAATCCTCACAAATCAAGATGTTATGTCTAAGAAACTTTTTTACAGACAAACTACTAATTATATTTAACCAACATAAAAATAATTGTGCATGAGCTTAAACAACTAGATTATGCAACAAGAACTCATATTTGCAACTAGGTACTGCAAAATGTATGTGATGAACTTGTGGATCCACATTTGCTGTTCATAACTGATGAAGCATGATTTTATGTTATTTGTCATGCCAGTATACAAAATGTAAAAGTATGAGTCATGAAAATCCCCATGCCATGCCATTCAACATGTGCCATTACACAGTGAACAACAGGGGTCTGATGTGCTGCAAGTGCATGGAAGATTATTGGTTATTGGCCCTATATCTTTTCATCAAACTTGCATCTGCATGTGAACAACATACTGAATCCCTTCCTTCAGCAAGTGATAGCTGAAGAAAGGAATTACAGGAACTTCCAGTAAGTTAAAGTAAAAGCACATGCTCCTGACAATCCCATGGACATTAAACACAAAGTATTTGACAAAAGTATCACAGGATTTGTTCAGGTAATGTGAAACATAGCTGACAGCTGAAACTGGGCACTTTCAGCAATTCTTACAACACAAGGAAACAAAACTAAAAAACGTAGTTTTTCAAATAAATCCATAACAAACTAAGGAGTTTCTTGTTCACTTACTTAATGTAAATCCAAGGTCTTCTGCATGTGCACGCTTGGCCAAAAATTGTCCTTCTACCACAGCACGAACTTCTATTTCCTTACCACTGAATCTGGGTACCTCAACATTAGCTTTGTTCCTGCGATAGTCCCCTTTCACAAATGGGATGATTTCCTGTGTGTCATAGTATAATCCTGGAATGAAACACCATAGTTTAGGTGAACACTTCACTTTCCAAACTCCATACCAAGGTTCCCTCCAGTAATTATATTTTATGAGAAAGAAAACCTAAAATTGTACAGAAATGTTATCATCAAGGTTATCAGTAGTTTTATATTACTCTGTGTACACTCTTGAGTTGGTTAATATCTGTACTCAAGTACAACGTCTGAATAAATTTACATCAGCCAGTCTCAGTAGGCCATTAAGAGCAGTATTTTCTCTGAGCTAATTTTATGTTGCATGATTCACAAGACTGAAACATACAGATAAATGTGATTTTCCTACAAAGCACAATGTAGTCTGCAGCTTTCTCAGAACACTATACAGAATAATTCCTAATTACAAGCAGAAGTATAAGAACATGTTCTACTCTTAAAAACCAAACAAGAATTAAAAAAATGGTTACAACTGCTCTTAGTGAGAATATGAAGCATTAGGAAATCAATTTACACAAGTGCCTCCTCTCCCTACAAGTGCCTACATGGCGCATAGTGGGACAGCTTTACTTTTACTAACATATTTCAGGAGCACATCTGTTTATTATATTTCAACATTACAGGATCTTAGTGTTTACAAAAGCTGTTGAAAATACTTTCTATTAGTTTGAATGTGTAACTGAGCACCATGATGCCAAAAATTCTTGATTTGCTGAAAAATTCCAGGAATGTGTCATATTGTCACAGCTATTTGCATCAAACACGAATGCTCATCCAGAATGTTGACTATTTTTGGCCCATCAGACAGATGGCAGCAACTGGTCTGTTCCATCCTATCTACTGATGTTGGTAGTGAGAATTCTCAAACAGCTTTATGTTGCAGGTAATATGAGCAGGAGCTTCATTATGCATAAACCACACAGCATGTCATGTTGCTTATGGTACATTCTACAGCAATTCAGGCAAGTCTTCCATCAAGAATAATGTTAAAAGGAGACCCCAAAAAGTTGAAGTGGTGGATTAAGGTCCTATGAGAAGATCATCAAATATTCTGTCACAAACATTAAGTATAAACTGATGCTGGAACTGAATGGAGATTTACTTCAGACCATGTGTGCATGCTAAAATTATTTAATTCCATATGAAGCATGCTTTGGATAAGAAAGTTTTGATTAGCCACATCCTGCTGCAGAAGCAATTGAAAGAATTCACTCTGATGCTGAGGATTTGTTGGCTGCAGAGCTTGAACAGGCTGATATAGATACAGTAAATGCTTGTTTGACACTCATTCAACACCCTTCATGTTGTACTAGCATAAGGGAATTGTTCAACAGTATGCAGAATTCCTTCTTCAACATTAGTTCTATTGTGACTTTGCAGTTTACCACTGCTTGCCGCATTTGGATACAAACAGCCAATGCCTCAAACAATGATCAAAGGGGGTGAAAAACCTTGAATTCAGAAGCCTTTGTTGCAGATGCATTTGAACGTAGAGATGTATAGCAGCTGTTATGCTGTGGTCCTCTGCACATGAGTAACACAATACTTAATTTGTTTAAAGAAAAATCCTGATTATCATATATTATTTGTACCTTAATGTATCTCTAAAAAAAACACAAGAACATAAGTTACCCTGGTGAACTCTTGTGAGACCATGGACAGAGTGACACAATGATGCATATTGTGTCAATGTCTAGTCACTGCATAATGCTGTCATGTTTACAGGAAATTACAATCTCTATGTTTATTGGATGTTATGAGGAATCACTCTATATAATAAAGGCAAACCCACATGAGTTGCAAAATTACCTTAAACTGGGATAACCATTGCTGGGTGTTAACACATATAAATCTTGTCTTTCTGTACTGTATAGAACTACATGTACAAATAAGGTAGGTCATGGATGAGTGAAAAGTTCTTTTTCCCATTGAATGTATTGTTTCCATTCATTGAACTTTGATAATATGCAGATGTGAGTGTGTAAGGTTAGTGTTTGGCAAGAATGAAAAGACATTATTTCATGTGCACAAAATTGCTGTAATAAGTAAAAAAGAGAATTAGTAACAGATATTCACTCTCTAGATGTTTCTATAATTGGTAAGGCAGTGGTTATAAGCTATTCTGAAATAGTAACCACATTACTGCCAAACTATGCATGAGTTTAATCACTGTTTATAAAAGAAACCTCTAAACTCTGTACTCTTATTTTCAAATTATTTAATTTTGATTGTGAGCTGCATTCATATTGCAATGAGATCTGACAACTTGTTCCAGCTTCCCCCTTCACATTCTGGCCTTTCACATTTCATGCTCATGGTGATGTCATGGCTGGATGATTGCACATATGCATAATTGACAGTATCTTCCACAAACACCTTCTCTAAGCTTCCAGTGTGGTATGAAGCATGAAAAATACAACCTGCTGAAATGAGAAAGCCTAGTGTTGAAGTAACAAAAGAGAATGCAACCATGGATGTTTAAAGTTGAGTTATGGATTGTGAAGTGCTCTGTATGCCAAATCAGCAGCTGCATTACCAAATAGTATCAGAAAACTGGAAGAGCAGTATGGCATGGAAAACATAATTTAAACCCACGCAATGAGGACTGCAGAATTTAAAATGTCATTAACCCACAAATAGCCACTTTTAAAAGTGTTAAATAAGTCCAGCTTTTGTTTCAAACAAAGAACTCACTGTGTAGTCACCAGTGAAAGTATCAATTATCCTGGGAAGACCCATACAAGGTGATCTCCCTAATAAATGGCATGGTCTACCAGATTTAGGAAAATCCAAGGGCAAGGATGATGGAGGTAGACTTGGACAGGTACAGGCTGAATTATAAAATATTATTTAGAATAGCTTCATCTTTATATGGTTAATAACCACAAAAAGAGGTCAATGACTGTGAAAACAGTAAAATATAAAAGAGTATCAAAAAGTCACAGTCTTACAGATTCAAAGAACAGATTTGGCATATTAGCACATTTGCAACAATAATTTTAATATATAGTTTTAACTCTCAACATAAATTTGTGCTTATGTATATATTTTACCATTTTATGCAATTAAAATATGTTAAGATACTTCAAAATATCTACAAATGAAATATATCTCATAAGGGCATATATTACATGCCTTCTAACTGATGTTTCATAGTTTTATATTACAAGTTGTGCCTGACTGTAAAAATAAAAATAATCAAGTTGCATATAACATAATACTATGTCACAGGCAATGTCTGCTTTTGAAGTTCCATTCAATTTACATTTTAAATGATTAATTATATAGGCCTAAGTTTCAACCTCTCTGTCAAAGAACTAAGGAATGTTTCTTCATCACTGAAAGGTAAACTTCTGTACTTTTATCTTATGATAATGTTTATTAATAGGAAGTTTGCACGATATATGTTTAAAATAAATGAAACTTTCATCTGGAGGAAGTATCTTTGACTGGGTCCAAGAAAAATAAATCTAACAGAAGAGAATAGATTATTTTAAATCTTTACATACTGGATGTCAGATGAGGGTCACTCCAAAAGTAATGCCCTCAATTTTAAGAAATAAATATTTATTCTATACCATTGCTATTGATACATTTTATAGGTACATCCTTTAGGAGATATATCCTATTTTCCCACATAATCACCTCCACTCTCAGCTGCTTCTTTCCACCTCATAACAAGTGCTTGTATACCTGACATGTAAAAGTCAGGAAATATTTTGCTACCAACAAATTTGGGTGGACGGTATTACCACACCCACCTCACAGTCCTGATTTGGCACCATCAGACTACCATCTTTTCGGTAAACTGAAAGATGGCTGAAGTGGTTCCAAGTTCAAAGGCGATGAGACTCTTGTGGCAGCGGCATTGCCTGAGGAATGCGGGTCCTGAGTTTTACAAGGTGGGTATACAAGCACTTCTTAAGAGGTGGAAAAAAGCAGTTGAGTGTGGAGGTTATAATGTGGAAAAATAGGATATTCCTCCTAAAGGATGTATCTATAAAATGTATCAATAGCAATGCTATAGAATAAGCATTGATTTCTTAAGAAAATGAGGGGCATTCCTTTTGGAGTGATCTTCATACATAAATTAAGCAGAGCACAGAAGTATGTAGAAGAGTACAGCAGCAAATTTTATGATTTTACCCATGTTCCCAAAGTCCCCTCGAGGAGTACTGTTAAGGAGTTCGTTGAATAATTTCCACGAGCCCTCTGCACAGGTATCACGAATTCTTTCACGAGTCAGAGATCCATTCTTAAAGCTGCAATTAAAAGAAATTACATGTACAATGCATATAAACAGATACTGCAACAGTTGAAGTTAATTTAAATCTATACATTATATCAATCAAGAAGATGCAAACTGTTCGAATTGTGAGCCAAGACATTTTAAACAAGATTTTCCAATGAAGATGGCTGTAATCTGGGTTGTAGAATCATGTAGACAATAACTGAATACCACGAGAGCCTCAAATTGCATCAACAATTAACAAATCTGTTCTTTGTGATTTTTGTATCCTGATTTTACTCACTGCCAAATCTCAATTATTTAAATATGAATACAAAATAATTTGAATTTCTTACTGTAATAATTTTCATTATTTACCTTCAGTTGTTTATTCTATTACCAGTTATATAATATATCTAAATCTTGCATAAGTATCAACAGACTATTTTTGTAATACTTAAGCTTTATATGTACTTACAGTTTTTTTTTAGTATATCAGTGTAATACATTGTTTTAGTAAGATTATGAAATTAAAATGTGTGAGTGTGCTTAGACTTTCGTACCAACTGTCAAATTTCAACGAGCTTTATGTCAGTGGAGGCCACTCCAACATTGTACTTTTTAATATCCTACAATCAGTACCAACATGATAGAGCCCATTAATCTGCCTTGCTGTCCCAATATCTTCTAAGTTTCTTTTTACCATTATATCTCTCTGCTTCTTAACCAATTATCTTTTTGTTCTCCAACTTTTTTAATCTCTTCATTTCCTTTACACTTACACTTTCTACTGAGTGTTTACTTTAACTGTTGTCATATGGAAGAACACCTAATTCCTCAGGAGGAAGTTCTATGATCATTAACACAAACCACAAAACTGAAAATCTGTCAACAATATTAACACAGCAATGATTATAATAATTTAAGCATAACATACACACATTATCCATTAAGGCTGAAAATCCCTCAACAGCATTACCATGGTAATAATTATCACTATTTATAAATAATACATGCACACACACACACAGATTATCCTATTAATACATAAGATGACAGGGCTTGTCAGATAGGTACAACTTCTTTAAAACATTATGACAAATGCAAAGACTGAAACATCAATTAATTCCTTTTAACTTGTAGACATTGTGGATTTTGGAATGACTGTTATACAAAGTGTCTGTTGTTGCATCTTTTGTGTACAGCAAATAAGACAGTAGCATCAAAGCAGTGGCAGAGCTACAGAAATGTATATTTTTGTTGCGGTGGTAAATTAAGTGACAGGTTGTTGGAGGAATACATTACCATTAAGTGTGAGTGTCTTTGAGTGGCATAAAATGTATAAAAGGGTTAGGAAGATGTGAAAAACAACGAAAGAACTAGACATCTGAAAACTCACCAGACAGATGAATATGTGCAGAAATCGGTTTGCTCTGACAGACAATTAAGTGCATGAATGATAGATGAACTAAATTTTTGACAGAGAAACCGTGAGGAATAATATTACTGAAGATTTGGGAATGAAGTAAGTTTCATCAATGATGCCATTTTGTCTGCTGACCAGAAACAGTGGCAGATTTGTAGTATGTTCTGATATCTGATAAATTGTGCTGCTTTCAGTACGATCCAGAAACGAAAAACCAAAGCATGCAATGGAAAAAGTCAAGGTCACTGAGACCAAAATAGACGTATGTCACAATACCAAGTGAAGAAAATGCTTATGATTTTTTTTATCACAATGGCACTGTCCCCTCTGAGTATGTTAACATTTTTGAACAGTGAAACACCTCTGTGACAACCATCCTGAAGAGCATTCCAGAAATGTTTTGAGCAATGGAAATACCAGTGCACTAAGTGTATTGTTGCGCAAGGAGACTACTTCAAAGGTCACACCAAGTATTAACGTGAAAGTAGTTAAATACAGCTCTTATGGGGGGCATTCTGCGAACTCAATTATCACACCTCATTTAACCACCAAAAGTGAATCCAGTGACTCGAACCATCCAGAGACTTAATTTGAAGGAATTAGAAAATTCAATGGATTGATTCAGGTTACATAGTACTTTTCACAAAAAAATTATTCTTAAGTATCACTGACAAAATAACAATTAGTTGAGCAGAAGTAAATAGTATTCAGATTTTACAGGACTCTGGTCTCAATTACATCAACACTTTTCAGATATGAAGTGGCTTGCTTTTGTCATATATATGTCAGATACATTTTATATGCTCAACGGACAAACTCCTCTCTTCAAGATCCATATGCAACCATCTTTCAAATTTTTGGAAGACTTCGGTATTTATAAAGAAAAAATAATGCCATGGAAAAGCCTCTGTAAAATTGACACCATAGAAACAATTGTCAGCATCAGTGAATACATGGCAGAAAATTATTATGCATCTGAGGAAGTTAAACCCCATGTTCTGAAGCATCTCACTGACCTTGAGAGGAATTTTTTAAATTGCCTTCTAAACTTCAGCAATATGAATGGAAGTGAAATCCAGTATCAGTTACAATCAGTAAGAAAATAAGTCACCTTTCAATTAAAGCCATGGAATCTGTTATGGAACTTCTCTGTGATACATCTCTCAAGATGAAATTTGATGACTTCTCTCTTCCTTACATAAAAAAAGAAGACTTGAACTCTTACACCTAGCCACGTTTTGGAACAACAAGTGTGAAAAAAAAATTCAGCAATAGCAACAAATAAATCAAAGTACTATAACCTCCTACAAATTTAGTGACTTATGTGTAGCTGTACACATAGTTTCAAACATGCAGACTCATCCTTCCCACTGTGTAAGTACTGTTAGTAATTTTATGCTCCATCAGTTTCTATGGTTAGTGAAGGCAAAGACAACCATGGTAAACAGTCAGCAATAACTTGGAAAAGGGGAATGGAAAAAGATTGAGGATAGAACAGGATGAGACAGATATTAATTAGAAGAGCATAAAATCACAGGAATCTTAGCTATGAAGAAGACACGCTTTGAAGATGATAATATGATTTTAAAAAGTTTAGTTGTGGCAGGTGATTAATTATTTAATGAATTTAAAAATAAAACTGAAATTAAGGAGGTCAAATTTTTTTAAAGTACTGTCCCTTTATTCCAAAATGCTATTATGCTGTCATCTTCATGAGCAAGAGTTCCCAGAAAATCAGCCAAATAGCATCATTTCATGGATTCAATCACTCCTTTGCAACAATGACACCCTCATTTGAAGTCTGTATCCTCTTTCTTGAATGAGAAGAAACACTGTCTAGCAGCAACACTGCTTGTGACTTGGTATTTTTGTTTCCATAAATATGGTCTGTTGTTTGTCTCCATGTATAGAAACTGTTATTTGGCTGGATGGATGTAACATATTTCCACGTATGTAATCTTTCATGGATATACACCAGTGTATTCCCATGGACACTGTTCATTATGTATGAGTAGCAATCTAAATTATTTTTATATATTTTCATGGATGTGACTTAGTATTTATACATTTCCATGTGCGTGACTCAGTATCTACATGCTTCTGATAAGAATCATACTTTTTTCCTTTATATATCAACCGTTGTTTACATCTTTCCATGGATGTGACTTCTTATTTGTTTCCATTAATCTGTCCCATTATTTATGTCTCCATATGGAAAGGACCAGTTTTGTTTCTGCAGAGATCGATTACATTTTCTTCCCATGCTCATTACTTATGTGTTTATACTGAAAGGGCCCATTATTAGTGTTCCCATGAATATGGATGATGTTTTTTTTATGAGTTTCTGTGTTGAAGACATCTGATGTTTTCATGGACACAAATCATTTGTGGTTCTGTACACTGGACTGTTGTATACCAGTATGTTTCAATGGATGTAACACTTTACTTGTATTTCCAAGGATGTGACCAATTATCTGTGTGTCTAAATGGATGTGACTAGTTATTTGCTTTTTCCATGCACATGACTCATAATTCATATGCCTGCATCTTTCTGATCTGCTACTTTTGTGTTTCCATGGATGTGACCTGTTATTAATGTGTTTCCATGGAAATAACTATTACCATTATTTATGCATTTTAATGTATATGATCCACATTACAATTCTCAATTATCCATGTACAATATTATATGGTTTGCATAACTTTTTACATAAATGTAGACACATGTGAATTAGGCTTTGGGAGGGTCTACAGAAGATATGGTCAAACAATACAGATCCTCTCAGTGCTTTATGTTTGTTCCAATGGTCATGGTGGTGGAGAGAGGGAATGCTAGAAGTGTGTTTGGACACGTTTACAGTCAATTCTGTGACACTGTACTGTGTGTCAGTTTCATAGAAGTGATAGTTAACACTAGTGGACCCCAAATAAGATGGGCTGAAAAACATATGAAAGTTGTACTGTTAGTAAAAGAAAGAGTTGAGTTATAATACTTGAAAATCTCAGAATGGAGAAAAGGCATCAGAATTAGCCTAAGATTAAGTGATAGGGACTGAGTGACTGCATCCATAAACGGATACTACTGGACTGACCAAGGAACTCTTGCCAACAATGATGACAACCACATATGATATATCTTGGGCATGGTACTCCATGAATCCAATATTGATGGTTTAAACGTGGAGGAGACTATATCCAGATTCAGAAGAAGACGATCTGTAAGGTTTATCGAATGAAAAAACCAGCAAGTCCAAAATTTCTGATGTGGCGTGTGCTAGAACAACTTTTGAAAATATCAATGAAGAAATGTTGAAGAATGGCTATAGAATGATGCATATGAAGTTGGCAGACAGACACTGTCAATGCTGCCATTAAACAGAAGGGAGAAGTAGAGGGTGGGGAGGATGAAAATGGCATTCGTACTGCCATGAGGGGCCTAAACAGTTCACTAAAATAAGTGGCCATTATAAACTATTTTTCAAGACATCAGTCATGTAAAAAAAAGTAAAGCAAATTGTTTAATTATGTGAATACATCAAACAAAATATTTTGGATTACTTGTGTTTTTGACTATTCACGGAACCTCTCCTTCATTAGCCTGGATAATTGGAGATCACTTTAGTTTCCATGGATGTCCAATGTTATTTATGTTTTCACTGATATGACCAATCTAATGTGCTTCCATGGATAGGACTCTACTTGTGTTTTCATGGACATGATGCATTACTTATGTTTCCATGCTGTGACAATTTTTTTTACTTTTTATGGTTGTGACCTATTATTTACACGTATCCATGGATGTGAACAGTTATTTGCTTCAATGGACATAAAGAAGTAACTTGTTCCCGTGGATATAACTCATTATTTATGTGTTCCTATGTATGTGACCAGTTATTAAAATCAGATGAATGCAGCATGAACTGTACTGATCTTTGACTGAAGCCCAGCTATACTGCTGCCTTTTCAGTTGACTTCTGCAGGCTAAGCTACACTTAACTGGTTCTCTTTTGTTACCACACACAAACTGGACTTTGAGTTTTGGCTGCATGCAATGCTGATCCTGTGTGTTCACATTTGTCTTAGAACTCATAAGAGCTATCCATTTGGGAGCCTGAAGTTTGAAACAGCTCAAGCCAATGCGACAAGACTTAGTAGCACAGTTTCATGCCTTGATGGTGCTGTGCCCTCTGTTAGGGTGGAGCCACTAGTGTATGAATACCCTTGATAGGCAGTATTGGTTTAGGTTAGTTTTGCTTAGGTGAGGATATATTAGGTTGGGCTTTAGGTTTGGTTTAGTTAAACATAAGTTATGTTTAGTTCGTCCAAGGATAGTGAAATTCTGTGAGGTCAGGTTGAGTTGGGCTAGGTAGGGTTGTGTAAAGTTAGATTGGTTTACATTATGTTAGTTGAACTGGCAAATGCTGGCAGTTGGATATT